AATTTCCTGCCTTGTGCAGGGGGTTGGACTAGATGACCCCAGAGGTCCCTTCCAACTCTGTGAGTCTAGGATTCTGCACAGCCAGAAACTCATTGATTAATTCTGGACTAGTCACTGTTATCTCCATCTAACCTACCTCACTGGGTGGTTGTGATGAGAGTGTAAGGGGGACCAGGGAAGCCGTGTATCTCGCCTAGGGTTGACAGCTGCCCCTTGGCCACCAGCAGGGGATGGGAGGGGTAGGGTTGCCTGATCCAGCTTGGCAAACTCCTGGAGATTTGGGGATGGAGCCTGGAGAGGACAGGGACCTCAGTGGGGTACAATGCCATAGAGTCCCCTCCGCCAAAGCATCCATTTTCTCCAGGCAGGGTTGCCATCCTCCAGGGGGTGACTGGAGATCTCCTGGGATTGCAACTGATCTCCAGGCGGCAGAGATCTTTTCACCTGGAGAAAATGGGTGCTTTGGAGAGTGGGCTCTATGGCATTGTACCCTGCTGAGGCCCCTCCACTCCCCCAAACCCTTCCTTACCCAGGCTCCACCCCCAAAATCTCTGGGTATTTCCCAACCCTATCTTCAGGAAAGCTGATCTATGTATTCTTGAGATTAGCTGTAATTCGAGGGGATCCCCAGGTCTCACCTGGAAGCTGGCATCCCTATCTGCCATAAGTTCCTTGAAAGAATGGGATGAAGATGAAATGAGTTTTGTAAAGTTCCATCACTGAGGTTGGTCTTCTAGTCAATTTTCACAATTTGTGGTCAAGTGAGGGGAGGGTTAATTCCAGCATCCTGGAAAGGTTTGTCCATCATAACTGTCCCCCAAGGAAAGAAAAGATTGGCCGCCACCTTTTGCATGTCTTTTTTCCTTCCCAAAGGGTAAGAGCAACATGGCTCAATGTGCAAAACCTTGCAGGAGTGGAAAGAACAGTTCCCTCTCCCCTTCCCATACAAGCCAGTTTGTTTTTTTTTGTTTTACCCTAAAACTTCCAACCTTGGCATTCAGATTAGTACATTGACCAGCCAGAAACAATGATGGGGTTCCACTGCCTTTTCCATGTTCTATTTATTTATTTATTTGTTTGTTTGTTTGATTTATATCCCGCCCTCCCAGAAGCTCAGGGCGGCTCACATGCGGCAAAGCCGAGTGCAAAATACAATACAGTATATAATAAATAAAACATTTAAAATCACAATAAAACCTTCCAATTATACGGTGCTATACCTATATTAATCATCCAAGATGGGGACAACCCCCCCAGGCTTGGTGGCCAGCTGTCTCAGTAGCGTGGTCTCCCACTACACTGTCTCAAACTTCTGACAGGGCCCGCTTGCCCCCGTTCTTATAGGGCAGCCGATGACTTGCCACCTCGGTGGTAGAATAGTGGCAGCGGCGTTCTGTAGCAGAGGTTGTCTCAAAAGGTGCAGTTTTTCTTACACTTTATGAGCAAGTTGAACTAGTTGTCTTGGAGACAATCATTAATACTGGAGCCTGCTCTCCTTTACATACAGTGACAGAAACAGATCGGGCATCTGTACCCTCAGTGCATAAGCCATTAGACTTTTGTTAGAACTGCGGAGATCAAAGCTGCCCTAGTTAACAAGCTAGTTCACAAGCATACCAGTTGTTCAAGGTAGCTCAGCACCTGCTGATGACAAAATCTGAGCCTTTGTTGTCTCGGGAAAAGATAGTTTGGTTTCCCAGGAGGTTTTGGGACTCTGCTGGTGCTGTGGCCTTCTGGTACCAATAACACTGTATGTGACTTTTGCCTTAGAGGATGTTTATACGTTCTAGAAGTTAATGGTGTCACTATCAGAATCAAAATGGGTAGGCTATCTGAAACTAACTTCCTTGATTTTCTGAGAGCTTTCTGATCCCAGAGATAGAGAGAAGGGGGAGGATTTTGGATTGGTAGATCAGGTCAGTTCTAGTCAGTTCTAGTCTGGCCTGCATCACATCCATGGTAGTCCTACATGATAGGTATGTCAGTAGGTACATTGGCAGCTATAGGTCCAAGAAAGATATATACCTCTGGTTTACAAATGGCAGGGGCTGGCCACCAACACCTCCATGTGAGACCTTGGTAGGGTTGCCAAGTCCTTACTGCATGTAGAGCGGGGGACTCCAGCGCTGTTCCAGGAGTCTGTACGTGTGCACGAAGTGCGCGTGCTCCACAATTACGTCACCTGGAAGTGATGCAGCCACGTCGGGCACGCCGGGGGCGGGCCACAATCATCCGAGGGAAAACCATAGAGTTTTCCCTCGGATGACCGCGGCCCCGTCCCCAACGCGCCTGACGCAACTGCGTCACTTCTGGGTGACGTGCTGACCAATGTTCCCTCTAAGCTGAGTTAGTGTGAGCTAGCTCACAGTTTTTTAGCCTCTGGCTCACACATTTTTGTCTTAGCTCAGGAAGGATGGCTCCAAAGCAAACATTTATGCAGTAGCCAAGTCACTCGCCCACAACTTTAATGCCAGTTGCTCACAAAGTTGAATTTTTGCTCACAAGATTCCACAGCTTAGAGGGAACATTGGTGCTGACGCCGGGCACATCGCATACTTTGGGGGTTGGGTTCTCCCCCAGGGCCCGATCCGCCAGCGGCGGATAACGGGCCTCTCGGGCGAGGGTTTCCCCGCTCCCCGGGGGGACTTGGCAAGCCTAGACCTTGGTGGCTAGTGCAGAACGTTCTGAGTTTTATACAAGAGCACTGTTTCAAGTATTGGATTGAAATATGCTATGTTGAATATTGAAATGTTGAATACGGAAATGCTACACAGTGTTTTCTGTCTCAAGAGTGTATAATTGAATAAAATGAGCAGTGTTTAAGAACCATTCTATATATATATATACTAGATTCAGTCCCTTGCCAGTCTCCACACAACCAATAAAAGAATTCAGGGGAACTGGGGGGTCTCAGGAAAAGTCCCGTGTCCCAAAATCCCTTAACACTCCCCACTTTTGATAGGGTTCAGCTGACCCTGATGATTCAGTTAAGAGCCCTGGGGTTATACTGGGCCCGCACCGTAATAGGAGTGGAGACGCAATCAGATCTGAGGTTGCCAGGAAGTAGAGCTCTTTCCCAAACATGGAATTTCGTGGTGTTCCTAGATCAAAGACTATGTCCTTGTTGGAGTAATTTAGAATGGACAATTTTTGAGACACTTTCCAGTCCCACAGTTGTGTCTGTCCCAATTCTATATTTGGTGCACCAAAATGTTATGAAGTTGTTTATGTAAGGGCTTAAAACTATTTAGACAACAGTATCAAGTATCTATAGAACACAAAGGAATATAAGGTACTTCCATATCTGTGCTGATTATGTTGCTGAAGGGCGGGGGGGTGGGGGGATTGCTGACCACAGTGACCTGTTGAGCATTCTCAAAATAACAGCTCCCAAACCAATCCTTGTCCCTTTCTTTATCAGCACCTTAGCTGGGAACACTTTTTCCTGATTTGAAAAAGTTCTGCTGCATTCTGCCACCCACTCTGCCCTGCATCTAAGCAAAGGTTTGGTTCACCACCCAGGAATTCACTTAAGTTCACCGCCCAGGAAAGCCATCTGTAGTTATAAATGGCTTCTGTCTATCACTGTTAGAACTCAAAAACAAGCCAGATTGTGCAGTAAATTCTATCCCCTCTGACTTGAAACCAGCCTTCAATGCCAGCCAGGGTTGCCAGCCTCCAAGTGGGCAGTGGAGTTCTCATGGAGTTACAACTGATTTCCGAACTACAGAAATCAGTTCTCCTGGAGAAGATGGCAGCTTCGGAGGGTGGACTCTATGGCATCACTTCTCTGCTGAGTTCCCAGCCTTCCCCAAGCTCCATCCTCAAATCACCAGGAATTTCACAACCTGGAGTTGACAACCCTAAGCCAGGCTCTGATACGGGACCCTTTTAAAGGTTTGTTTATATCCTTCCCATCTGTGTTCTTCTGTCACTTGGTTCAGACAACACACAAAGCTCTGGCTTATTGTTTCTGCAGTTGGTTTGTGAAACGAGGATTTTGGTGGTTCGGGTGCTGATTTGCCCTGACATGTGCCTATGTGTCTGGAATTCCATCCCAAGGTCTCTAGAAGTTCAGTCTCTGAGTGGGAGGGAATGGCTATGCCTCCTTTTGTACACATGTCTGCGTTCATGCAGGTGACCGCTGAGGCGCCATGCAGTGGCATGCTACCAAGATACATTTTGAACAGCCCACAGCATCTTGTAAGAGAACTATCAGAACCCTCATGCTTAGAGCTTTTTAAACTGACAGAGGACAGGTGTTTACAAAATACTGCCAAAAGCCAGGCATTGAAAGGTCTTCAACAGTGTGAATGGACAGAGACCCACAGAATGGTCTTGGTATGAGAAAAGGGAATGTTTCAAGCACCTCCCACTTTCCATCTGTGAAATTTTGTAGAGTATGGTTGAGTAAATTTCATTACTTCTATGCAGGGCTATTTTTAGGCAGGAATGCACAGGAACGGAGTTCTGGCTGGCTCCCGAGTTGGCCACGCCCAGCAGGAACTCATTAGCATAGTAGTTCCCACCCAACAG